ACAGGGTGGGGTACCTCCTCCTGCCTTCTTATCATAGTAGGATAGTAGGGTCAAACAAGGTTAATGTGAAGAACTCAGCTGCTAAGTCTTCTTGCGGCTGGGGCCGCTCCATAATTACCTATGGTTAGCAGAGGTAGGTAATAGAGCGGAAAAGACAGTGGAAACTACTATAATTGACATGGAAATGACAAATAATTTGGAAAGCACGTTTATGTGCGGTGATGTACGGAAATACACGGAAAAGAAAAAGAACGTGGAAACTGCTACATGACTGGGGATTGTATAAGGACTACTAGCAGAATCCGTTCCACCATTCCTTGCTAACCAGAGAAACGAATAATGGTGGTCCAGTGGCAAGAGTGGACTGCCATTCCGGGAAGGCATGGTTGCTGTCCTCCTTAGTCAATGGCTCTGGGCCTCATTGAAGTTCAGGTAATAGCCACAACATACAGCGTGTGTAGATGTAATACTCAGGTACATATTAACGCCAACCCCAAGCCAGTACCAAAACCAAAGCCTTTCCTGGACCAATCTTCGCTTCGCATCCATCCTCATCAACAGAATCGCGGCGTGCCATCAGAAGCACGCGCGCCATGCTTGCATTATCTCTGTGCAACGCCAGATTCAGCGCAGTCTTGCCACCTCAAAGTGCGAACTCTAGACGCCTAAATGAAAAAAAGACAAGGTTTGCGGCATACTGCGCTAGAGCTTGCTAGCGGTAGACAAGATCTATGTTGGCAAAAAATATCCAATGCTCCAGCCTTCTACATACCCTTGCTCGTCCCAATGGTTTACTGCCTGAAGCCAGTCCCTACAACAGAGACAAAGGAGTATTCACAATAGCTTGGAAGTGCTTGACCCTCGAGACGTGGGCCCCCCCAAGAAGTCCTGGGGCATCAACTGTGAGATGAACCCGTAAAAATGTCCAGCACGACCTACTTGTCAAGCCCTTGACAGGTAGCCGCATAATGCCGCGCATGCAACGCCCGAGGAACTCGCGATGTTCTGAGGCAACACATGTAACACGTCGCGCCTTCTACGGGCAATCAGCGCCCCTTTGGCACGATCTCCGATTAAACCGTTATTGGTCATAGCTAGCATTCATCATCATTGTCGTATTGGCAGCAGTATCCACACAAACACTATAGCCGCAGTAGCAGCAGCAATGGCAACTAATCATAGCAGATGTACGGCTCGTTCTACGCCAGGCAACTCTATCTACCTTCCCATGGCACAAATCCACCTCTCGAATTCAGGGGCTTAAAAACATGAATGATAGGGACTTAGCGTGTAAACTATGGAGACATAAGGAATGTACAGCTTAGGCTTCGACGCTATCAAATACGACAAGCGAAATGAAACGGTATTCTCAGGGCGCTTCTGATTCTGGGTAAGGTTACGCTTGCAGTCTGCAAGCACAGGGAAACCTGGCAAAATGATCCGAGCCCATACCTCAGGAGAGACCTTCTCATCTTATCATATTTCGCATTCCTCCCGCCCCTTTTTAGAGGCTCTAATACCTGGGCGTTATCCGATGGGCTTAACCCCTGAACCTTCAACACCAAAACTCTGATCCCTAAAGCATATATTCCCGAGTATTCCTTAAACCCTACTCAGCCTTTCAATAAGCCACTATTGTCTGCCAGGCCGGCATCTGCTCGGACGCCCAGGAGCAGATGCACCACGTCCAGGTGACCACGCTGTACTGCGAAGTGGAGAGCCGTGAAGCCTAGGATGGGATATACAGGGAGATAGTCTAAACCTCTAGTATCCCCCTCATTATGACCTATGGTAGTCCGCTGTGCTAAATAATCCCGTATAACCCGCTATAACTATAAGGATTTACTCATACAGGGATATACTCTAATAGAGAGTTCAATGGAAAGGAACATGGAAAATGCGATGGAAACAGGGATTCGATAGGCTTTCCAAAAATGAAGCAACATTCTTGGAGGTGCATATAGGAACGTGCAAGGATGAGGGGTGCTGGGCTTCAGGATTTACTTGGACACTTCAATGTAGTTCTTTCTGGTGTTTGGTATGCCTTTTGGTTAGGGTTCCGAGAATGAGCTCCCCAAAGTTTTTGCATTGATGTTTAGGGTTTGGTTTTAAGGTTTGGGGTTTTATCAGGGCGCATCTACGGTGAGTCGGCATTCTATGTAGGGATCATGGGAGGACTGAACTTGGGATTGGACTTAGGAAGCATTTTAAATCCACGTACTCATGGTGCTCCCATGGATTCTAGATTTTCTCAGACTAGCCAGGACCTCAGGAAGGGCCACCACTCAGCAACTTAAGTTTAAGCCTTTAAGCCTGGGCTTTTTCAATCTGAGGTTGAACCCATCTCTTTTCAGAGGTTGGCCTTCCAAACCTGACCAAAGGCAAAAAACTGCAGGCTGATGCCAGCCACAAGGCCTTCGCTATCCGCCAGGTCTTGTTCAGCTCTTGCCTCCAGGAGCAAGCGCACAACACCTAGCCTAGGCTCTTCTGTGCTCTGCGGGAAAAGTATGTGCTTTAGGACTTCTGGCAGCATGCTAGGAACCCAGAAGCCCAAAAAACTCTCCATCATTTGAACAAATAAAGGAAAATGTGCCGCTGAACAGTTTAGCAACTGGCCAGCGCGGCATGCCTGTTCATGCTGCAGGATTTCAAGGGGTCTGGGGCAAGTTGGGACTCGTAGAGATTACGGAGTTTGGGCCTCTCCGCGTAGGGATCATTGCATTTATGCTAGGTTCTGGGTTCAGGCGTGCCTGATGAAGAGCCCTCTGCCCATCGAAGAGGGCTGCATTTGGATCTTGAGGTTTCCGCAGGATCGTGGCTACCTTCAACGTCGAATGCTGTTCGCTTCGCGTCTGCTCAGTGTAGTCACATAAGCAAGATGTGTGCGCCCAAAACAGGATCCCAAGTGTCATGCCCAGGTGCTTCGAGTAGCTTGCCGCAAACAGCAGCAGCTTTTAGCTCCGACACTTGTGAAGGGGATGAGCTGCTGAAAGGCAGCAGCACCAGCTGCAGTTCCATTGCCGAATCCAACAGCGCCTGAGTCTCACCGTCAATCCAAGCTAAGCTGGTACCACATGACATTGCAAGAAACAAAAAGATTTGCGCTGATTTGGCGACCCTTATACGAAGTCCCCCCAAAAAATGCTCCTTGCAATTTACGAGCACCCCAAAACACATGCTCTTTGCCAACATCAATGAACTACTGTTCCTAAAAAGGTGGAAACATAGGCAGGTAGGGCCCGCATGATGTGTAGGCAAGTTTATTCCCATCCTTGTAAACTAAACGTTACCAGTCGTAACGTTCTACCGAGATAGGACCTGGGGGCATCGTCCGCCAGTGGTTCTCCCCTGCAGAGGAGACGTTGCCTGAAGCGAGGAACCCCGCAAATGACATGGAGCTGCTCCTGCAGCTGACTAACCTGGGCAAAGGATAAAAAGGATCACCTGGGCAACAGATTGCTATTGTAAGACAGCAAGAGGCCGAGGATTAAAGCAAAAAGAAAATGGAAGATGACGTGGACGCAGGGATTATATACGGGTTGGTATACGAATTGTGTCTACGGGCGTGTTCTATTTGGAGTCCTTGCTTCGGGGCACATTATCAAAGTACAACTATCCTATTTGGAGTCCTGGCTTTGGGGTACACTATCAAACTATAGCTAAACGAGGGTTGCAAAGGAATGCTAGTATTGACAATCGTTCAGGTTTCTACATTGAGAACATCACCCCCGTGCGAAGGCGATGCAAGTGACTCATCTCCTATTAACGACCAGGTAGCTACTGCTGCCAATCACACCGCAGGATATGCATCGACTGACGCGATCACCAGCGATCTTTGATACACTTTGCGCTATCTCACTGCTATGTGCTTCACCATCAACTCACCTCTCACCCATGCTCCGTAGCAGGAACCGCCATTTATGATGCTCATGCTATGTTGAGGGCTGCATTGCGAACTCAGTCGCGCTTTGCAGCTCGCCGACTGCCACTGAAACAAGTTCTTCCCCAGACGCAGCCCCCAGAACACGCAGCATCGAGTTCCGTGGGGCTTGCAGGAAAAGCAGGCTTGGATTGCATAAGCTAGTATTGGGGATGATACAGCAAAAATGGCCGGCGGCGAAAATATGTAAAAACTCTGACGATGTTGGTGCCAACCCTTACGAAAGGCCGTTTTTCACAGAATTGTTTGGTTGAGCCCAGATATCAGGACCCCGAAGCCGGAATGTACTTTACTGGGCCCAGCGGCACAAAATCTCTGACTTTGCTTTCATACATGGATGGACAGGATCTGTGCTTTGTGCTACAAACTAACCTATAAACTCCATATACATATTATCCTGCAAACCATCTGATTCAGGGGGTGAAACGTTCACGGTCACTGGAAAAGAAACATTAAACTGTAAACTCCCTATGCCTCCTAAGATCACAACCTGCAACCCCAAAGTTGCAGCCTGATTCCTGAGATGTTTAACGAAGAATGGAGAAACTCCATATGCTAGTGGTTGTGTTTTGGGTCCCACTCTCTTGGTATTGAACCCACGGCCATTCAACTCCAATTTTGGGCCCGGGTTTCTGGGTTGCTGTTCAAGCCGGGTGTACATGTTCATATATGGCGGAACCCAGTATGGATGGTCGCTTCATGATTATGGACCGTCAGCCCCACTTATCGCCAGTATAGACTCACAACTGCAGGGACCCCGCTGTATTCCAACAATATGTAAAGATACAGACATTTGGGGCTCTTTGAAGGGTTTTGGGACCTGTTTGTTCGAGGTGTCGTACTGTAACTTCTGATAAGACAAAACCCGTACGAAAATTTGCATTTACAAACCCTAACTGCCGTATCTGAGAAAAGATGGTGAGCGCAAGGGCTCAGGGCCTGGCTAAAAAAGGTTTAGGCTAGCATATGGGCCGCTGTATTGACATATCACAGCTGCACAAAGATAAATCCAATCCAATACACTCGCTAAATTACGAGCAAAGCGGGCCCTTGTTTTTGCTGTCGTCGCGCCGCTTCGTAGCCGTGACTTGCCTACAGCTTCCCAACGCTGAGTCGCCTGCAACAGGAGCTGAGGACCGATGTGGGCGGCAGTGGATTATCATTGCAGAAGTTCAGATCAGGAGACTGAGGAGGGCAGTTGGGGCAAGACAACAACCGCCTGATTACCTGATCCGGCCGCACTTTCATGTGCTTTCCCCCTTCAGTTTTTTCTGATTCCGCAATTAAGATATGATTATTAATCATTAAAACTTATCATTTCATCTTCCTAGTGGAACAATGTCCCAGTTTACGGGTGTCGGAAGAACCCACTGACCATTACATTGTCAATGTTCTTTTTCGTTTGATTCTCCTTTATTCCAATGTCTCAACCACGTGGACCTCAAACATAAATAACAATGGGCCAATGCACGAGCATAGTGATACCGTAAGATAATACGACAATAAGCCATTAATGCCATGATATACCAATGCGACAGCATAACAGAATAACAAAAAGACAACATGATCAGACCATGATACGAAAATGAGTGATGACAACGAAACAATATGATTGCACAAGCATCTATTAGTACAAGAATGACCAGACCTCAACCCCAATCCCTGAAAACCCCGAAACTTAAACCCCACACCTGAACACTTCGACCCTAAACCCTAAATCTCAAACCCCAAAACCTAAATCCTAGCTTCCTTTTGCCTTGAAGGCTGCTGGTGCTGACGGCTTCGCACAGAAGCTTACGCAGGTCAAAAATATGTTCTTTATGCACGAAGCGCGCATTCCTAAAATCAATGGCTTCGCGGCGCGAAGTCCAGGATCAACTCCCAAACCCTAGACCTCAAACCCGAAACCCTTAAACTCGCCTGCAGGGTCTTTGCCATCTTGCTCGGTGCCTGCAGACTTTTGTAGCCCAGAGGGTCCATGTACCCAACAATTAGCTTCCTTTAAAGGGATATGTAGGGATACATGTATGTACATATATATATATATGTATATGTGTATATGTATATACAGGGTTTAGGGTTTAGGGCCTTAAGGGTCCAAGTACCCAAAAATGAAATAGGTGCTGGGGTTGGGGGAGTCGCTACCTGCGTGCTTGTAGCACCAGCGCACCGCCTCGCTGAGACACCCCAAACCCTAAACCGTAAGCTCCAGCGTCGAGCTTGTGCACTCTGGAGGATGGGATTTCAGGGCAAGCCCTTTTCACGAGGCTGCAGGCAATAGGATTATACTTCCAGCAGGATGATCACCGCTCTTTTTGCGGCTAGCTGCTCTCAGGTCTCTGGCAAAGTCACAACGAGCTGAACATGAACTGCCTTGCGCATTGGCCGGCAGGTTTCGGATGGTGAAAGCACCTGCGGCTTTGTCTCCCAAGGAAAGCTCGAGGAGTCTGAAGCAAAAAACTTGCCGAAGAGCTCCACCGAAGGATCCCCGAGATGCCCGCAGGAGGCTCCCGTCCCGTCCAGGGAGTGGTGGGCGGGAGACTTGAGCATGTAGAGTGACGACATTGAGTTCCCATCATCAAGCACCAGTATTCATGCGCACGCAGTTCCATACTTCCGGCAGGATGATCACCGCTCTTTTTGCGGCTAGCTGCTCTCAGGTCTCTGGCACAGTCACAACGAGCTGAACATGAACTGCCTGCGCATTGGCCGGCAGGCTTCGGATGGTGAAAGCACCTGCGGCTTTGTCTCCCAAGGAAAGCTCGAGCTGCAGGACGTGGCGCGCTTTGACAAGCGCAGATGCTCAGGACGCCGCGGCTTGTGTAGCCGCGCTGGCCTTCCACACTCGCTTTTGTCAGGCTCAGGTCCCAACAACAAGCCGCTCACTTTGGCTGCCCAGCCCTACCCGCCCGGCCTTAACCGTGATTTTGGCTATGTTTTGGCATCCCCGTATGTCACGACTGGCTTTGCAACAGGGTGGTGACTGACCACTTTGGGTACTTCGGACATGTTTGGGGATCCTCCGGCGGGCATCTCGGGGATCCTTTCAGTGGAACTCTTCGGCAAGTTTTTTGCTTCAGACTCGTCAAGGTTTCCAAACAAAAGTCTCGTGGGTTTCTTCCATCGTGTCTTGTACTGACAAAAGTCAATGACGACAACCTGGACATGTGGCGATGCCATTAGTTGCTGCAGCTCAGGAATGTACCAAGTTTTGCTGGAATGGGGATTCTCTAGGCACCAAGGAAGGCCACGTGAATCAGGAGCGTAAATGATGTTCAAAGCAGCGCGCGCACAAGCATTGCCCATGCGAACTTTTTCCTGGTCGGTGTCACTGAGAAACCTGCGAGGTAGGCCCCAAGGAAAACGTGCACTGCGTATCACAGATGTACGATCTCGAGCCACTGAAAAAGAGCTGCATCTGGCGATGATAATTACGTGAGAGCTGTTGCAAAACAGAGCTTTGAGTGAGGTCGAACACAGGCCCATGCGCAACGTCATACTCGTAGCATCTGAAACCCAGCTTTCGGAGGCCACGACTTACCCCGCCCTTGCCCGAAAAGAGTTCCAAAAAGTGGCTGCAGGCGCTTCCTCAAGGCGGTGCCAGAGGAGTCGTTCTGCCGAGGATAACATCCCTGAGATGCTCTTCGCACCACTGGCAGTGCTGCCTGAGTCGAAGGGGCAGCTCGAGAAAGGCTGCCCCGAGTCTTGCTGACTTCTCGTAGCGCACGACGCTTTTCGCGCTCTTCCAGCCTCCTCTCTTTTGTATCTCCAGAGCTGACCGCCGGTCGCCCTGTCCATGCTTGGTCCGGAATGCCGCATCTGGTACGGCGTTTGGCAAGCTTTGCGGAACTCTGCGACATAGTCGCCGTAGTTGAAATCCCAAAGCGGAGTGTTGTCTGGCTGCTTCTTTGGCAGAGCGACAACTGTGTGGCTCCAAGGACGGAGCTCCCCCGTTTTGCCACAGGTTGCTCCAGGTTTTCCGGGGACAGCAAAAGCGTCCGCTCTGCTGTTGCAAGCTGCACTAGGGGCACCAAAGAATAAGTGGTGCTTCGCAAAAGCTCCGCAGGGCGGGTGTACGAACTCAAGGCGACCATGGTGTAGACGGCAATCCGCGCGCGCCGCCTGCGGCACAGCCACTGCAACGGCTGCCCAAACAGCCAGAGGCCAAGGTCTTCGACTGCGAGCAGGTGTGAGCATTCTCCACCCCTTTAGGGCTTGCCAACTCCTCGGCAGCTTGCATGAGCCCAGCCTCCCAAAGTCCGGCCTCTTGTGCATGAAGGCCGCCAACAACTTTTCGCCTTTGTGGGCTTGCTCCCCCAACCAGAAGCACCTGTTCATGAACTTCACGATCCCCGCGTCTATGTCCCGGTCTTCCTTGAAAGCCAAGTTCTGCTGAGCCACAGACCGAAGCAACTCGTTGACTTCCTTCCCGTAGCAGCGCTGGACTTGGGCCGTGACCGCCTGGTCCTCGAGAAAAGTCGTCCCTCGAGCATCGGCGTCGAAAGCTCGGCCCAGGTACTTCTTCAACCTCCGCTTTTTTCTGGCTGCCAAAGTCCTCTCTCTCTGTCTTCCCCTGGCGGGCTCCGGCCCTTCGGGGTGTGTGGTGCTGGACGACGTTGAGCTGGCACCCCACCTTTTCTGACGGGGTTTATCCTCTGTTGCCTCCCCCAACTGATCCGTGATGGAAACTCTGGACGTCTCGGTTGTCACAATGGATTGGCGCAACTCCCCATCCTCTAAAGTCCTGGTGGTTTTCTTTGCGCTCACGTCCTTGCTGACTTGCAATGTCCTGGCTTTGCGGGGCTGAAGCAGTCTTGAACTTTGGGGCGGCGACAAAATTCGAGTCCTTCTCGAAGCCGATGGCACATGAGGGTTTGCCGGCGGCATTGGATTCAGATGGTATCCATCGCACGGCACATGCCACGTTCCGGGCAAGGGCCCAAGCACTGAATTTACGACTGATTTGCAACATTCTTCGATTCTTGGATCTGCTCCGGCTTACGTACTCGTTCCTCATGGCCAGGCCCCTACTTTCAATCTTTGACCGCACGCGCAAGCTCATCAATCGGCACTACGACACGAAGGCCTCTCTGTGGCCTAATGTTTGTGATGAGTTGACGGCGGCCTTGGGGGGCATCATATTTTGCCAGGCAGATTGGACACGAAGGTGGAATAAAGTGGCGTCGGCCTCAGACGCTAGCCTTGGTGGGTACGGAGTGTGTACTGCAGACTGGCCTCTGGATATCGTACAGCGAGTGGGGGGGGCTTCCAGCAGGGGCGCGTTTTCGACGTACAGCGCGGGCCACTCAGCCAGGGAAGCAGCACTTGAACTAGCTCGGCTTCACCTTAGCGGGAATGTGAACCTTCATGACGTCAATGAGGCTGGCTGGGACATCGATCATGGCTTCCCCGATGTTCCTCACGAGTGGCTTCAGGAGGAGCGTTGGAAGGTGAAGTTGAAAGGGACATGGAAGCATCCTGAATTTATGAGCTTGACAGCCTGGCACTCCTCAAATCGTTTTCCAGGCTCGCAAGGGGTCGGTATGGCAAAAAATCACGGCAATTACTGCTTGTGCACAACATGTCAGTCGCATTAGTCTTCAGCTGGCCAACCATGTTCTCAAAAGTCTCCCACTACACTTGCCTCGATGTAGAAGGCCTCGCAGAGCTTGTCTGACCTTGCGGGCGCGAGACGGTTTCAACGAAGTGCAATGCTTGACCCCATCCACTCTGCAACCTAAGGTATCCACTCCTTCCTGCGCAACGTCTCCTGGATGAAGATCAAGGCCATGGGAACAGAACTCATTTGTAACCTGAACCAGAGCTTCTTTGAGGGCATCGATGTCAGTCGAAAGCATTCCCAGGTTGTCTACGTAAACATAGTGGTGACTGGGCTGCACCTGGCTCACCTTATCGGTAGCAATCACCACTGGTTGAGATCGGTCAGAAAACAGCCTGGAAGATGCAAGGGAAGGGATACCACTCATCAAGCGTTGGTTCGCTTTTTGTGCAAAATACAATGACCAGCTGAATCCCACGCACAAAGGCGCCGGCATCGGCCAAACCAGGACATCCTGCTTCAGCAGATGGTCGCCCAGATAAGTGAACCATCCTTTAATCCTTGACATCAGAGAGCCCAACCGAAAGCGATGGGAAGTCACAGCCCGCCTCCGGGGAGAAAATGTCCGTCCTGTCGTCAAGCTCGAACCTGGCAAAGGCTTCAGAGGTGGCTGCGACATACCTGGTGGATCCCGGAACCTCGAATTTCCCCTCCTGGCATCGATGATGAGCCGAATCCTCACGCCATCAGATTTTTTGACGAAGAACATGCCAGCTCGCGCTTTAGGCTCTCCCGTCACATCTAGGTACCCTACGCCATGGAGATGCTTGATAAAGTCTTTGTAGGCACGAGGGTTGTTGCGCAGGGTGGCATCCCAGAAGGGACCACGTCACAATCCACATCCTCATCCAGTTTCAGCATGCGCTCAGGGGCCTCCAAGTAGTGAAGGGCGTCATCGGGCAGGAGCTCGGAAAGCGTAGGAGAGCTGTGCAACGAGCCCGGCATGGAAACACGCTCACGGCGGTAGGCCGCCAGAGTGGACGCAGGGCCGGAATAATCACCGGCCCCGCGGAGCAGCTCAACTAAAGCTGCCTTCGGAGTAGGTGGCGAAGAAAAACCGTCCTCAAGCTTGAAGGAGTCTGAGGCCAGCTTCATCACCCTCTCAACAATCTCGGTCTGAAGACTTGCGGGCGCAAAACTTCCTTGGGAAGGAGTACCAGCCATCCAATTGAGGGCGCCGATGCCCATATATTTACTAACTCTATTTCTTGCCTTCGCCGCGCCAATCTTTGGGAAGCTCGTCGGCTGATCTTGCAAGTAAGCCTTTCCACCTGCATCAAAGGCAAAGGGAAAGGATCACTGCCGGGAAGCTTTTCATGGAAAACGGCCCCGCCCGGCCTGAAGCCGCCCCCTTGACGGTTCATGCCTTGGTCGGGGCCTTCAGCGCCTCAGAGGTGCGGGCGCAAGCCCCTCACCGGCACCATCCCTCGTCTCTGCAGTCTCGGTGCCCAACTTTCTTGCCTCCCGAATTTTGGTTCGGGCTTGATGGAGCTCCACTTCTTCTTTCCCTTTTGTGGCCGCCCACGACCGAAGGTCAGGGCTCACAACATCGTCAGCAGTGGCCTGACCAGTATACAACCGAGCGCGCGACCAATCTGGGGTTGGCCCGGCGCTGTTCGAGAAGGCTTCCAGTATTGTTTGAATCCGGCGGCTGACGCACTTCAAGCAGCTCAAAGATCCTAAATTGAGTTGGTCGTAGACACCTGCCAGGTAGAGGCTGTCCACCAAAGTACGGAGTTCGTGAACCACTCGGTCGGAGTCACTGAGACTGTGTTTACGCATCCAAATCTGCATCGGTCCCCACCGTGTCTTTGCATGTGCTTCGAGATGTGGAGCGTGCTTTGGGGACCTTGGGCGAACGAGTGCGTGGACGATTCCTGAACCACTCCCCGCCACTCTCGGTGCCCCCACCTGCTCGTCATAAAGGGTGCGAACATCATCTCCGTCCTTGCCCTTCTCTGCATCCACCGAAGGTGGATCAATCCGGATGCCGAGGTCGTCCTCCAAACCGACCCCTCCCCCAGCTCCTCTCGCCTCCGAGCCTTCCAGGCCTCGAGTTCCTTGTCAGAGACCTTTTCAACCCGAACCCACTGACCCTCAACTATTTAGCAACCCCATCATTCGCATCCAAAGCCAAATCAGTATCAGGATCGGGGGTCACAAGTCGCCCGAGGGCCACTCCAGGACGAGCATCAGCCACCCTCCATGAGGTCCCTGTGTCCGGGCCAATAGTCAGCCACAACTCCGCACGAGGATTGACTGGAAGGCCTTCCAGCTGTTTGACCCTCAGCCGCCGTGGAAGAAACGCACCCACAAAGAACTCCTGGAAGTCCATCGCCGTCTCCCCAACCACGACCTCAGAAGGCCGCCACTCCGAATCAAAATCTTCCTCCAGCGCAGCGACTTCATAGCCGCGTCGGATCAACGTCTTCAATTCGCCTTCCGGGATGGGCGCCGCAAACTTATAGATTGACCCTCCAACTCGGCTCCGGTAGCGGAAGTGGACACCTTTGACCTTGCACCGGCTAGGTCCGTCAGCCACGCCTTGAAGGTCCTCTGCGTAGACGTCCAAATCAGGCGTCACTACCACCCAGACGCCCTCCTTGACTCGCCAAAGTGCCTTTCTTTCGTGCCAGTATTCGTCGTCCAGGTACCAATGTATCCCCAGGCCGAATGCTCAAGTACGCCATGGCCTCGTCTCCGGGGGCTCGCCGGTGTTGAAGATGGCAGCCGCCTCAAACCACAGGTACCCGTGATCCCAGCACCAACTAGCACTCCCACGGTCAAAGTCCACCTTTCCGAATCCACGAGGTCAGCCGGGCGGTTGCAATGACACTCACAGGTTACCCGACAGGTTGTCCCAATGATGAAGTCTCCGTACGAACCCCCACTTGGGCCAAGCTGAAAGAGCAAAGTCGCCAGCGGGGCCTCCAACTTCATTGCAACTCTACCCGGCACCTTTTAGACTTGAGCATGTACAGTCAGACCCTGAAGTCATAACAATTGCAGTGGGGGAAGCGGTTCCCCATTGAACCGCGCGTTATGACTCCTTCCGGGGAAGTCATAACATTTTCCAGTTTCCGCAGTGAACCGCTGGATT